AAACGACATAAAAGAAACATTGAAGATGGTACACTGTGCATGTAAGTGTAAGATTAATCCACCACCGGTACCTGAACATTGTTCTACATCAGAAACCAGATTACGGCGTCATATGCTTGTAGGAACATAGGTGATAAGTCTTTACGCCTTTTAAACGGCAACGGTCATTTATTAAACACCTATTAGGCAAAATCCTGCCAAGAACTATCAGGAGCTGTGACAGCAACTTCACCTAGATCCTCTTTGCCTGCGAAGACTAAAGCATAAGCTGCTATTGCTGTAAAGTCTGATTCATGGCATATATATATATATATATATATATATATATATATATATATATATATATTACAATCTGTGTACAGCTATTCTACCATCGGAACTATGGCAGAATAGAGGAACAGAGTTAAAGAAAGGAAGAAAGAAAACAAACACCTTTTTGTCCATTTTCCCACACAGTTTTTGAGTATTTTGAATGTTTTTATTGGGGGAGGGAAGGGGAATTAGCGCAACAAGCTAAGATGCACGTCCTTACTAAGTTTGGTTTTGAGCCATGATTTCTGAGTTTTTTAACCAGCGGTACTCAGCATCTTTAAGACCCCATCTAGTGAGTCAAGAAAAACAAACCGTGGCCAGCTGTTCTGTCAGGTTTTTAGCCTGCTTCTGCAAGGCGTAGGCTGTCCATCACATCGCCTCCTCCAGCCCTGTCCAGGGACGCGAACAAGGCGCGACGCGGAAGACGCTGAACAGATTTACTCAGTAGGTCTCCAAACCATCGTAATTGGCGCAGCGAGACAAACGCCTCGAGGGAGTCACTGCCTCCACTCAAGACACGCTGTCTGATCTCAACATCGGTTACGTTCTACAGTCACCACACACCAGTGAAGGGCCGTAAGCAACGGTTATCGAGTACAGTCGACGCAGGCCATCGGTACGAGAACGCCAAGTCTCGCAACTATGTAACAGCAAAGCGCGCACAGTCACACTATATGGTGTTGTCATATTACTGCCTACTCTTGTTTATCGCTATTGATTGGTCGTGAATCATATGCCCACAGCGTTCTTTGGTCGAATGCATGCTTGCTGCCGAATGGCTTTTATGAATATTTTTAGAGTCATAACATTGTTACGTGATGGTTGTGTCAATACATCTGTTTAGTCTACTGAGTTCCTGTTCTGCTTTCACGGACACAACACACTATACATCCGCCCTTTGATGGAGAGACGGATGTCATTTAGGCGCCATAAATACCTCAGCCTGGAGATGGCGAGACGAGCTCTTGAGATGCGCAACGAAATGTCGTTTCCAACGGCCCCTCTAGCAGTGATGCACCTTTCCATTTAGACAAAACTGTACAACTTCCGGCGTCTCATCATCCATGGTGAGTAGAGGTAAGGGTGTATGCCAGTGTTGAAAAAGTGCTTTGCACTTGGATGGTGAAAAGTCTGTCTTACTTCGACGCTTCAATCGCCAGGCGGTGCAGTGCAAGTTGGACGGCCTGCGGACATTTACCTAACAAGACGATATCATTAGCGTAATCCAAATCAACCACTCGACTACCTGGGAGGAGCTCAACGTCAACCTTCAACAAATCTTCTAGAGGATTTTTGAGGACAGCCTCAATGGCAAAATTAAGGAGGAATGAAGAGACAAGGCATCCTTATCAAAACCCACTGGTGACAAAACTGGAAGAGGATGGTTTGCCATAAACCATAACTCTTCGCTTGGCCAGACTATACAGAGCCCGCAGTACGGAGACAAACTTCCCGGGAATGTCACTGCCTAACAGACAGTGCCACAATGCAGCTATGTCGACAGAATCTAAGGCGGCACGGATATCCAGGAACACAACCATCGTTGACATTTGATACACATAACGGCGCTCGAGAATCTGATAGATTGTGAAAATCTGATCGATGCAGCCGCCTCCAGGGCGGAACCCAGCCTGTACATCTCGCGGTAGTGTTTCACGCGTTGGGGATAGACTATGAATAATGATGAACACCAGGATCTTGTAAACGACTGGAACCAAACTTATGCCCCAGTAATTAGAGCACTTTGTGCGTAGGAACTTTTGGAAGATGGGGACTATTATCGACTCACTCCAGGATGATGGAACCTCCTCTTTTGCCCAGACTTCTGAGAAAAAAGCGGTGAGTTCTCGAACTAGCAAATAGCCCCTATCTTTAATTAGAGCAGGTAGACCATCAAAGCCGGGTGCCTTATAACGCTTCAGACAGCAGACTGCCCGCCAGGTTTTTTGGTGAGAGGGAGGACCAGTGGGGATAGTCAACTCAGCACCAGTGTGCACCCCAGGGAAAACAGATGGAGCTGGCGGCCAGGAAAACTGCGAGCGAAAATGTTCAGCCCGTCGCTCCAATCGTCGTTGAAAATTAGGGATTAGGGAGCCTTCCTCTTCGCATTATTTCATTTATTCGAGATCGGAAGCCTTCGGTGACTCGGATGAGGTGGAACAGTTTTCTGGTATTACCAGAGAGATTAGCAAGTACAATCTCACTAGCACGTTCACACCACCAGGCCCCACGGTCCTTCTGTGAGCTCCCACGCAACGCCCAATTCAGGGATCGGCGTTTCTCACCACAGCTGATGTCGGTTGGGATCAAGCGGCGTCAGTCTATTAGCGACATAGAGACAGTGGTGATCCAGCTTTTCGGCGGGTGAAAAACAACACCATAACTGACAGTACTGGCAGAAACCAACGCACTTTCGATGCGCTTCCATTACGAATTCAGACCATCGTCAAAGGATGAAGCAAGCAGTGTTGACAGAGCAGCCTGGTACTTAGCTAACGTCGCAGGATGTTTCAGATTTTTGACGTTCGGTCGGTCTTGCGTACGTTTTGGCTATCCTCCGAAACGCATACAGAGCTTGGCGCGAACCATTGAATGATCAGAGTCCAGATAGGTTGACTAGTACGATCGGTAGTAGGTTACGCTTCCGTGCCATTAGTAGCTTATTACTATGTGGTCAAGTGGGGACCACTCCTGCGTTTGAGAAGGCAAATGCCATGTAGCAGTCTGTCTTTGCGAACGCCGAAAACGAGTGCTCGACAGAAACTTGTGATGCTCAGAACTGATTCAGTAGTCTGTCTCCATTGCCTGATCCGCTGCTACCGAGGCAAAAACTACCTCTACGATGGTGCTCGCTTTGTCAAGGCGGTCCACTCGTGCGTTAACATCTCCAGCAAGAATGACAATGTCAGACATTTTTATGGAACGCAGAAGGTCAGGTAGCTGATGCTAAAAGCAATCCTTGACTGCATCCGGGATGCAGTCTGCAGGAGCGTAGGCGGAGATGACAAACAAGGAACGCGTAACATCTCGACGCTTACTTAACTTACGTGAACCTCGTAGGCCTACTGCATATAGCCGACTGTTAACTGAAATTCAGTCAAACAAAGTGGCCTCGGCCCTGTCACTCAGTGCAACCCAACACCAGCTTGGCCAGAAACAGCGGCCTCTGGCTCTCCGAAAAGGCGCAAGTGGAATTTGACGCCAGGGTTTGCAGGAGAGATCGCTTTGATGACTGTACTGGCGTCTTCCAACCTGGTTTCCAAAAGGCAATAGATGTCCACCGAGAGAGTCTCAAAGGTGCGGGCCAGGCATGGTTGTTTTCCGATCTGCACCAGAGTATGCATATTGAACGCTGCTAGGCCGAATGGAGAACTAGGTCGAAAATAGCTTGGGCTTCGATGGAGTTTGAGAATGTTGTGACTACCGGGCAACGATGACCAAAAGTTTGGTTCAGAACTCTGTCAGATGCGACCAGTGAGCTGTTGTTGACGGTGACCGGGAAAGAGATAGGTGCGGTTACGGAACGGGACGTGGGACGATCTGTGAGCGGATGTTGAGCAGCAGAGACAGTATGTCCAGTAGACATATCAAGAGTGAAAGCAGTAGTGTAATCCATCCATGGTTCGTGAGTGGGCCGAAGTAGATAGTTGTCTTAGGGGGCCACACGCCGAGCCTTTGATCCAGGATCTAACCTACAAGGCAGCAGGGCGATATGAGGGTGTCGCGACCCGTTGGGGGCCGGTGACCAAACAAGTGGTTCATTTGGCTTTAGGACCGTAAAGGACCAGAGGCCCAAAACACCCTTGAATTAAATGCGACTCAGAGAGAGGCAAGGGGCGATGACTTTAGTTAGTGGTAAGTCACATCTGCCACGTCACACTGTTGATAGATGACATACGTGGCTTTTTAAAAGGAGAAATCTTACCAGGCGAAAACCCACCACGTCCTGGAACACTTCCGCTGAACCATTCGCTGGAAGGGCACAATCCCGAACCACCTAGCTGACACCACGAGGATGTTGTTCGGCAATGCATACTACAATCTTCTCCCATGAACATTGAAGCATCATTTCACTCGGGACCTTCGTAATAACGAATTTACCCTGATTACACCACTATGCAGGACAAATTCGCAGTTTAACTACTTTCTAATCAGATATGATGCTCTGTGGATTGTGCTCCCAATCAGAATCAGGTCGTGTGAGACTGTGCAATCATTTCGCAGAATTCTGGGAAGCTACCTCGACCTGGACACCATTATGGCATTTTGTTCGTTTGGAAAATCACTCGACGATCTATTTAGAAGGCGCAGATAACGCCTAATGGGTGAATACCATAAGTTTCGCAAGGTAATTAGCCCACAGTGTTTTCTTTATACTCAAACTACAGAAACGTCTCCTATGTTTGTATAAAACACAAACATATATACTTTTTCAGAAACATAGGCAAATATAAGAGCATATATTTTAAGTGCCAATGTAAGAGTATGATATTACATGCACATACGCGATCTGTGCCAAGCTTGGACACAGCTTCTCACTTGATGAAACGGATACATATTATTGGAATTATTATGGTGTTGCTTCTCCAAACACTGACACCCCACGACAGCGGTTTCTTCCACATTATTATTGTTATTGTTATTATTATTATTATCATAACCCATCATTTATACTTTCTACCCAACAGCGGAGACGCCGCGAGGAAATGAAGGCAGAACGCGAGCGAGAAATCGGGTTGGTCGATGGCGGAAACAAACTTGCGATGCGTGAAGAAAAGTTGTTCCAAGATTACGCCAAAAGAGTGAGTTCCAATTCGGTCGTTCGAAGATAGTATCGACACACTAGGATAACGGGTCATAACTCAACACGCATTGCGTGACTAGGAGAAATGAGAGTCAAAACTACAGCAAGTGAACAACTTGTGAGTGGGTTTTCGAGGCAACATAAGCATGCACACCAGTGATTGGTACACTATATCTCAGTGCGGAAATGTTGACACTGTGCAATTAGTGACAATAATCAAAGCATAGCAGCGAGTAGAGTGGGCGGAAAAGAGAACTCTGTGTGGCTATCACAACTAAGCACAGATAGAGGGCGGCCAGGTAAGGGGAAAAGAAATGGAATGCCTTCTCGTAGTTTTCGGCCGAAAGTCCGGTGAAGAGCACCAGCCTTCAATCCTGAGAATGATGCGGGGATCCTGAATCACGGCTGAACTCAGAAATATAATCTACAGAATTCGATAAAGCGTTGGACTGAGGTATAGGCTTGATAGAATCAGTCAGCAGTATGCATGTTCTTCGAGAACTCTCCAAAGTTTGAAACCAATACAGCTCAGGCTGCGGTCAGCCGCTTTTACTGAAGGAGAACATACGCATTATGATCCCAATGAAGACCTGTGCACTCAAGCTGGCATATAGTGGACGTAAACGTCTGGACGAAAGAGGGCTTGCTAGATGGTAAATTTTATCTTGGAAGGCACTTAAGGCACCTAAGAAGGGTGAATTATCGGCCGTAACACGCGCTATATAAACATTAGAAGATGAAGAACGTATTACACGCCAGAGAAATAAAAGGACCGCGAAAACAAAATCAAGCCTGTACGCACAAAATTTACCGGTTATTTATCGGACGATAGCTTTCGACAAACAGAAATTGAACTAGAAACGGAGTGAAAACGTGTTGACATACACTACCCTGTACCTTCATCCGGTCGAGGAAATAGATACACTGTAAGCGCCCTAGGCAGCGGATGTTGTATATTGGTGAGCATTTGCGAAGCGTATCTTTTGCAGGCACTAACATGCGGCAAACCACAGTTTGGGTTGAAGTTGATTTTGGAATGACAAAGCAGTGGAAGGGGTGTTTCAGGGACATACCATGGAGTATGAAAGGCGCACTTAACAAATCTGGAACATGTAGGTTACTGGTAGTGTTGGTGAGTAGTGTAATTTTCGTAGAAAGTGGGAGCCACGAGTAAATTTTGTGCAATAAGCTGTCTCGACGGGGAACCGAACCCCGGACCCACGGATTACCGGTCCGCTGCTCTACCACTGACTCACCGAGGGCTGACGATCAGGTGTGTCAGTTAATACATGACTTCTGGAAAAATCGTGCACTGCTGTACCACGGAATAAAATGATGGGAGACGGCTGATAATCAGACATATGAGACCTACCATTTTAACTCTAAGCTGGACGCATGACAAACCAAATTAGACGTTATGCAAATTAACTATAGCATATTTGCTCAGATGCACATACACACAACACCATACACAAAGACCGGTGAGATGAGTCACCTTGTTGGATCGAAACAAACCACAACATCATGATAGGCAAACATCAAACAGCAGGCTTTTGACCCCTGCACGAACCTGTCCAAACGGAATGTTTGCACCAATGATTCGGTCATCAACATATTGTAACAAGATGGCGTCTCGGAGAAGATGAATGGAAGCAATATGAGTAAAGAATAACATAGACAACAGAACGCATCTGTGAAGAATACTCAAAATTGTGGTAAGTGACTAAGAGATCTTGCTGCCAAACCTAATAATTTGGGTATATTTGGTGAACAGATTCTTTACCAACAAGACTATGGAAGATTAACTACAAGAACTGAGTAGATCTGATAATGATTCATGGTCACTACGTCTGAAAGTATTGTCGTAATCAAGTAACCAGATGTGTTCATATGTTCGTAAGGTCTAGGGGCGATAACACTGAACGTATAAGACAATGCGATTTGTGTAGTCCTTGAACTTCGTTCGGCAAACTGATAGCCAAGTTTTCACACTTAAATAAGCATTAATGGGACAAAGTTGCAATGATGTATTTTGTCAACTGCTGTCAATGAACACAGGAAGTAATGCAAACATCCGGAGAAAGCGTTATATCGAACTAAGTAAGCTGTACGCTCGCCAAAACAAGAATTAGAGCTAAGTTCACACCCGTGAAACTAAAGTTTGGTTTGCGCACAAATGCAGTTCGGACAGTGCATGGCTATAGCATGTATTCTCAAACTTTCTGCTCGCTTTTTTAGCGGCACTGTTTACCATGTCCTTTAGGGCATTAGATAAATGTACTATTTCATCTTTGATTGAACTTTCAGAAAAAATACCAATCCTAATTACTTTACAATCATTCAGGGCAATCCGAGTTCATTTTAAGTAATTTAATGCTTAATTCACATTTTAGAAAGTGTCCTTAAACTAGCACACCAGCAGAAAATGCACATTAAATCTAGGTAAAATGTTGGATTGACAATTGTGTTTTGAGGATTCAAAAGTGGGTCAATTATTGATCAAACGGTGTTTTCTGATCCAGGTAATCGAACACTGCAAAGAAGGCGGACGTAACGTGTTCCCACTGCAAATGGCGGCCAAACCAAAGGGTTCATTCGGTTTGGCTAGTGCGTTACCGGGGGAGAAAAGTCTTCTGGAATTCGGTGATCCGGAGGGAAGGAACAAGAGAATGGCAGCAATGTGACTCCAGACAACAGTGGACGGTTGCCGGCCATCGGAGAAAACATGTCGTCGACGGATAGTACAAAAGAACACCTGGGTTTCGTTTGGTGATTACGAAATAAACAACAAGCATTTAGAAATGTGGCATTCCCGATCAACAGCCACATTGCAGAGTATAACAGTTCTAACACGCTAGAGGTTAGAGAACCTGCATAGGGAAACTTGATCGAATTTTATCGATGAGAAGTTAACTCACAGATTGAATGAAAAGTGCACACACACAGTTAGCCAATGGTAAAACTTTCACAATGCCAAAACACAAGCTGGCAAGACAATACCACTTTTTGATATACCTTTGTGTCATTTGAAATACTAATGTCGATTGAATGTGGATCGGTCACATTCCGCGATGACTAACACAACAAATCGATGTGGCTCGGACACGCTATCTAATTAGAGAAAAATATATGAGTTACTCCTACCCACTTCGATATGTAACAACCCTGGTCAGGTGTGGGGCAGCTTCAAACACTTGTTGTGTGATTGGAATGCGAAATGTGATGTGAACAATGGCACTATGGTGTATTACGGGCAAAAAAAGCAATGCTTAACGAGTCCCATGGCATGCAATTATTGCGAGAAGTAAATTGCATGATATAGGGAAAAGGTTTGGCTGACTCACTATAGACTTATGCGATGGGGGCTGGAAATGCTGGTGATTGGAAATGCTATAACGCCGATCGAAGGTCACAGACCAGACCGATTAGGAGTGAGCATGTTGCCAGGAGCAGATTGGTCGGCCAATCCGGAAATAGTTGGCTCGTAATCGCGACCACCATGTAACTATCCACTGAACGCGCAAGTGACCGCTCGGGCGCCAGCAGGCGAAGGAGCGCATACTCGTGCACCCTTGAGCCAAGGTTTGTGGCAGTGGACCGAGGGAAGAAGCTCGCGGGCCCAATCTCGCCAATCGTACATCCACTAAGCAAGTCAAAATGATTTTAGACAGAGCGAAGATGGCGAGCAAACATAAACCAATGAAAAGGGAGCCAGCGACACAATGCAAATAACAGGGATGAGCCATTGAGACGGACTGAGGTAAATAGTGCATATACTCTATAAATACTCGAGCGTAACCTTAATAAATGACTTCGTGATCGCGGTCCAGTCTTCTTGCCTCCCGGAGGGATACACTACAACTTAATTAGAATAGCAAAGCTTATTGCGTATTAAAAGTATAACTCCATAAATCCATTGGTTGGGAGTTTGGTAACACACCGTTTGATTGCGTTTTATAGCCCTTGGCTAACAATTCATATAATGAATGCAAATGAGACAACGCATCGTCAAATCGTTATTTAAATATCGCCAGATTGGGAGCAGAGACGACATAATTAGGGAGGGCATTCCAAGGTTGGCACACGCGAAGGGAAAAGAAATTTCTACGGCATTCAAGCCGGCTATACTGTATTGTCAGTTTCAGAGGATGACCTCTTAGGTTAGTGTTGTGGTCCAATTCCAGCAGCGGACGGCAAATGTGGTTTGGGTTCTTCAGAATCTGGTAAACCATTATGAGATCCCCCCGCAAAAGCCGATATCGACTGCTGTACATTCTTAGAGATTTCAGTCTAAGCTGATAGGGCAGATGAAAGAGGCCGCTGACGTTCTTGGTTGCCCTACGTTGAGAAGTCTCGAGAGCAACGAGATCCTGTTTCTGCCACAGCTGCCACGCCTGAATAGCATATTCCACGTGCGATCGCAAGTAGGCGTTAAGCATTTGGGGAAAGATTGAGGGTTCAAACCGACCGAAGGCTCTGCGAAGCACGCCGAAGTGTTGATTGCCGGTTCTTGTCGCCTTCTCTGCCTGTTTTGAACACCCGAGATCTTCCTGTACCAATACACTCAGGTCACGCTCCTGACAGGCCTTCTCCAAAGTGTGGTCTCCAAGTATGTAAGCGCTCACCGGCTGGTGACGCATATGGATCACCTTGCACTTAGCTATGTTCAACTGGAGCAGGTTCCTCCCTGACCATTCATAAATGCAATCTAGGTCATGTTGGAGTAGATCGTGATCTTCATTGTTACTAATCGCCCGCCATATCTTGACGTCATCGGCGAAAAGCAGGAAATTTGAGGAGATAACTCTTGCCAGGTCGTTGCTAAACACCAGGAATAAGCGCGGTCCCAGCACTGAGCCTTGTGGAACACCACATTCTACCTCAATCGGGTTAGAGAGTGATCCCCTAACGCGTACTTGAAGCTTCCGTTGGTGAAGGAAGTTGCCAATCCAACCAAGTACAGGATCTCCGATTCCGTAGCTCTGTAGCCGTTGAAGTAGGATGCGGTGATCCAGGCGGTCGAAAGCTTTGGAGAAGTCCAGATAGATGACGTCAACTCCGACCCCATCATCAGCCACTTCCGTCCAACTACCTCGTGCAATCAGTAGGTTGGTGGTGCATGACCGGTGTTGACGGAAGCCATGCTGCTCCGGTACCAAGATGTTGCATTTTTCCAGTAGTCCATTAAAGCCTCAGCGACGACCGCTTCCATCACCTTCGCGAGCACAGGGAGGAGAGTCACTGGGCGATAGTTTGCAGGCATCTGAACGGCTACCGCCTTTAAACATTTGGGGTTATAATGCCACGCTTCCACAAAGTGGGGAGTTGCTAATCAGCAAAGCATCTTTGCAAGTACTGTGACAGTGGTTCAGCTAGCTTGTTGGCCACAGCCTTCAGTGCCTTCGGGCGGATATTGTCTGCTCCCGGAGAGCTATGATCGCGCAGTGAGAGTAACTTCCTTAGCACAATTGATGGGTTGAAAATTACATGTGTAAACAATGGAGTCGGTAATGTGCATGACATTATGGGACAGGTAGAGGCTACGAGTTCGAAAATTGTGGCGTATTGTAGCCGCAGGGCATTAGCTGCTTCTTCGGCGCTTTGTACTCTACCACCTGTCGTGAAAAGTGGAGGGATGCCATGCTTCACTCTACGAAGATTGTTGACCTGCCTATACAGCAGTTTGTAGTTTGCCAGGAAATTTTTGGCTAGGCACTGCTGATAAGTTACTTTGTCCTCACGGACAAGTGCAGTGCAATGGTTGCGATGGGTCAGGAAATTGCCCCAAGTCTCTGAGTCGGGGTTAATCTTGTAGGCACGCCATGCTGCATCCCTTATCGCCAGGCATTTTCGAGTCCTGCTCCTTAGAATTGAAGGCATTTTTGCAGGACGAAGGGGTTTGGTCTCTGATGCTCTGTTGACAATGTCGCTGAGTCTATCAACGAACTCTGTCCAAACGTTGTCAAGGGGACTGTTGTTTGAGAATTCCCAAGCAGCTGCGTCGACGAGTTCTTTCAATACGTGGTAGCGTGTGATTGTATGAGTTAGTTCCGAGTGTTCAGATGGATACTCTGCATAACACACATAGTTGAACGTTATTACTACATGGTCACTGAGACCTAATGGACTATCCATCAATAACTTGTCAACCATGAGCTCTTCATTCGTGAGCACAAGGTCCAATATGGACGGTTTGTTTGCTGTCCTGAATCTAGTGGGCGTGGTGACATGATTGTACAAGGGAATATTAGCGATCAGTTCATGCAAGTCTGCTTTGAACTGCTCACTGGGCGATGCCGAAACCTCCAGATCGTGTAGATTGAAGTCCCCGGAGATGAGAATGTGGCTGTACCTAGTGCGTGTTACTCTGTTCAGGACATGTATCAAGCGGGAATCCATTTCCGGAGTGGACGTTGGGGGGCGGTAAACGACAGCTACGAGACATGCGTCGTTGTGTCTTAGTCGGAGACGGCAACAGAGTGAGTCGGTAACGTGAGTTTTCAGATCATCAACTATTGCACATTGCAGATCGCTGCGGTAGTAGAGTAGGACCCCACCTCCTCTGCTGGGGCGGTCGTTCCGGATGAGTGACATTCCGGCTATCTCAACCTCAGCATCAGTCACCTCTTGGTGTAACCAAGTTTCGGTAATAGAAATTAGGTCCCAAGCATTCGCAACCTGACGTAGCCGAAGTTCGGTAAGTTTACTGAGGAGCCCTTGGGCGTTGGTGTACATACATGAAAGTTTCTCAGATTTAAGCAATGTTTCGGAGGTTGTGCAATTCATACATGATGTTTCGCCGACCAGTGAGTGGCCGGCAACTGATCGTATTTTCGATGTGTACCCAGTCGTCCGCGTAGTTAGTCCCCTATCTAATCTGCTGCGTACAGTGTAAGGTGTCTGGTCAATATCTTCTGCTACAGGTTGTATGGGCTCATTCGACACACTACTGGTGCATTGTTCTTCTATATGTCCCATCGCGTTTGGTTCTTCGAGTGACATATCATCTGCAGAAGTTATATTGCTGACTGTCTGCAACCGAAACCCAGATAGTAGTCTGCAACGGACCATGTACCAGCGTTTTAGCAGCTGTATTATCATATGTTTTGTCTGAAGGACCACCTTTAACACTCCCGGGCCACTTCCTTTGTAGTTTGGTGACGTACGCAGCCGTGACACCGATTTCGTTAACACATCATCCAAGCAGAGTGTTTCACGAATATAACACCATTGTTCTTTATCATGGGTTATTATTTCATACTTAGCACATGCTTCAGTTTCAGGAACCCTGTGAAGAAGAATGGTTCTGGATGAAGTTTCCTTCTGGTAGTTCTCTAAGGTGCAGGCCCCATGTGATGTCTGGAAAGATACGGATGGATCAATGTTCATTTATAAGATTACCTGTCGACAGTAGTACTGATTCTACTTCAGTGATGGCGTTTGGCACGATGCGCAGAAGCCTTGACTCCGCAAAATGCTTAGAGTTGGAGTGTCGCGTAATACACACTGCGTGTACAGGTTTCAGTACAACCGATTAGGTGACTAATAATATCCTATTGATAGAGGTCATCCAACTGCCTGCCTCTTATTGATGTCGACTGTGATTCTGGGATATGGGAGCACAGTACGCTCAATACAGGTAGTTGTTTCTTTACACCTTTCGACATGTCGCTGTTAGTGACTGGAATACTCGGAGATGTACCGCAGGAAACCGGTGGTGCTTGCACTGGGAAAACTCTGCTACGCTCCTCAGTATCCGACCCAGTTGGAGATGTTAACTTTAAATGACGGCTCATCTTGGAAGCAACCGGAACCCAACTTTCACTAGTACCGGTTTGCTCTTTTTCTACGCAGTTCGTCGGGAGTTTGGAAATAGCCTTACGTGTAGTTACTCCGACCGAACTGGGAACTGCCTTAGTCAAATGTGAGCCACATGTGGTATTGGAACAACAGTTGATGTTCTCGACACTAGGTGTCTTGTTGCTACTACCAATTCTTCTCGGGATAGGAGAAGCACTTACGGGGGAGGACTGGGTTGTACACTCCGCTATGCTTACCCCAACCGTAGTGATTGTGGTGGTCATCATTTGCTCAAACCTGGCTAGTAGCTGCCCGTACTTCTGAGATAATAGGAGCACGCTTTTTAT